TTTTGGTCTCATGTGACCACAGCACTTTCTCCCAAGCATTCTCTGAATCATTTAGATGTTCTCTGGCAAACTTTAAACGGGCCTTCTTGAGCAGGGTGACCTTGTGGGCGCTGCAGGATTTCAGTCCATTGCGGCGTAGTGTGTTACCAATGTTTTGCTTGGTGACTGTGGTCCCAACTGCCTTAAGATCATTAACAAGCTCCTCCCGTGTAGTTCGGGGCTGATCCCTCACCTTTCTCATGATCATCCTTACCCCATGAGGCGAGAAAATAATAATCTTGCACGGTGCTCCAGACCGAGGCCGATTGATGGTTGTTTTGTATTTCTTCCATTTCCGAATAATCGCACCAACAGTTGTCTCCTTCTCACCAAGCTTCTTGCTGATGGTCTTGTAGCCCATTCAAGCCTTGTGCAGATCTACAATCTTGTCTCTGACATCCTTTGACAGCTCTTTGGTCTTGCCCATGGTGGTGGGAGAGGTTGGAATGGAAGATACAGATTGTGTGGACAGGTGTCTTATACAGAATTCTTGCTGGTTGGTAGGGGATCAAATACATATTTCACTCACTGAAATGCAAATCAATTTCTAACATTTATATTGTGTTTTATCTGGATTTTTTGGTTGATATTCTGTCTCTATCCGTTAAAATAAACCTACCATATAAATTACAGACCCTTCATTTCTTAGTTAGTGGGCAAACTTACAAAATCAGCAGGGGATCAAATAAATATTTTCCCTACTGTATATGTGATACATGAAAGTCTTGTAATTCTGATTTATTTATGCATGTTACGGCAGATGCCATTTTACAAAATGTGACTCATTTAAGAAATGTTTAATAATGGTTATAAAAATTAAAAGTCTCTTCAGATGATTTATATGAAATGTGAAAATATATTCTACAGTTATATGGACTGATTTTTTTTTTATACATTCCTTTATTACACATCTGTTTTAATATAGATTACTATATATATAGGCTACAGCTGAATTGCATTACAAAGTTAGCATTAAAAGCGGTTGTTTTTTTAATATACACAGAAAATATTTTTTTCTGATCATTATAAATAAATCCTCTGATAATTGAAAAAGTGCCACTTGAACTGTATGTATCAGGTTTGAAAGTTGTGCGCGAGGTTAACAGAACATAAACCTCTCAGCTTTACTCAGCCATATTTATGGATGAAAATATACATAGGTAAATGTCTGGCAGAGGATACTGAGGCTAGCAGCAGTTACATGAGGTCTGAGTATATGTGTGATGACTTCAGAAATGTGGAGTTCTCTATTTCTTATCACTCTTAATGCCTGTGTTTCTGAAACATTCAGAAGGAAACTGGCTACCAAAATGGAGACCACAGCTGTGCACAATGCTTGGTTGAAAATGAAACCTGTGGATGACTGCTATATGTACAAACTTGGTTAGCATCAGAGCTACAAACCGGACATGACTAGTGATGTGTTAAAGCGCCTCTTATACATGTAACAGGCTTATTGGGATATTAAATGCATCATAAAATCTCAGTTAACTCTTTATCACATACAAACCAAGGGTCCATAAAATCAACAGTGAACTGGAACTGACTTGAGACCGTCTCTTCATTGCGTTTTGAAGAGACTGGACATAGTGACATAGGCTTCGTCTTTACATTCTCGTTGAGCTGCCGTTACGCTCTGAGAGCTGCCATGTTCGCTTTCTTTCAACAAATCTGATTCATCTAACAGTCTAATTTTAAGGTGGGACTGCTCTCTTGGAAGACATCCATCAGCTTTCATGTCCATTTCACTCACTGATGTTCTTGAGGAACTGGCTTGACTGTAGCGGCACTCATCCAGGCCGTCCTGAAGCTCAGTAGATGGCTTTTCATCAACGTAATCCACACGGTGTATGAAGACGTCACTGAATATCTCAGGACTGAAAGTGAAAGGAAGGCCCTGAAAACATAAAAACAGTCTGTATGAAGATGCTGAGTCTCACGTTTAATCTTGCAGAACGTCAAAGAAGCAATGAGAAATTGAATTACCCTTTGCATTTGTGCAAGAGTTGCCTTCGGGTGTGGGATGTTTGGTGTAATGTAGTCTTTTATGCTGGATTAGAAAACATTATTACATTAAATTGTTAGAAAATAATAAAATAGCTTTTTGTGTGTTTATTTTTTTTAAATGAGGTAAAAAACTCACTGCGCTCTCCATCGCAAGGTCCCCAAACCGATGATGAGCACCAGAATGACAAAGAAGGTGATGATGAAACCAATCTTTGGAAAATTATTTTCTGTGGTAGGAACTGTAGAACCTGTGTCATTGTTTATAGCATCACAATTTATCAGACACGATTAATAACGGTTAAAATGCTTTTTTATACATTTTCTTAATGCTAAAGCTATTTGATTCTTCTCCTACCCAATAATGAGTACAAAAAGGAGTGTTTATCATACTAAACATAGTGGTATCTTCTCATGTAACAGACATCTGATCTCCAGTCAGATCCACTCACTTGTTATAGTGAAAGTTGCATTTGAACTCCACTCACTCCAGTCGCCAGCAAAAAAGTCCCACGGTTTTGCTCTAACACGTGTGTAGTAAACACCATCTCCAACAAGTCTGTCCCTGCTGATACTGTAGTTCCTATATTTTATAATGGGTCTGATGGGCTGTGGAGAAAGAAAACATAGGTGTTGTTTATTTGTTAAAAGAACTCAAAATTGACTTTTTTTTTGTAGGAAAGGTCAAGTCAAACCAACAAATTGTTGTGAGAAACACCTTATCTGCAATTTTGTCCCTCCAGATTTCCAATTGGAATTCAGGGTTTTTAACATATTCATGAATGTGTTCAAACCATATGAAAACTTCTTCTGTGTCTTCCATGTAAGTGGCAAGCTTCATTTCAGGAGCTGGGATTTTGACTGTAAAGACAAAGACAGATTAGATAGACACACAGACAGACAGACAGACAGCAGACAAGACACAGACAGAGACAGATAGATAGATAGATAGATAGATAGATAGATAGATAGATAGATAAGACTTGCCCATTTTTGACAGGTCGATGACATTTTTAATAACCTCATTTCCTATGTGTAGCTCATATTTTGCTGTAACAATCAAATTCTCAAAAATAAAGTCTTGTGGTCTTTTAGTAGCATTTGTACACTTTTTTTCCAAACCTTCCATTTTGCTAAATAGGAGAAAAACAAACAAACAAACAACAACTCTTATTTCCATTTTATTCAACATTAGTGCTTCAAGCAAAGATTGATTCACAATACATTAAAACCCTCTAGTGACAGAAACCTTTTTTTATTAAGTTACTGACAGATATTTTACATCAATTTACAGTAAATATGTCTAATGAAATACCAGAGTGTCATGAATTTGACCTCCTCAGGGGGTTCGTCGAGCGAGCAGATGAGGTTACTTTGACTGACGGTCATAGTAGACGTGCAGGTCACATCATCTAACCAATCTAAAAGGAACCAAGAGGAGAAAAACAAAATGCCATTTTTCTAGTCAACACCTTATGTTAGTGTGCTTCAATGAAAACTAGCCTAAATGATAGTTTCACATGAATTTACCCCCAAAGGCGTATAACTCTTTATGATCATAATCATATATGACTGCATACAATCTAGCAACATTTACAGTCATTATGCAGGAATACTTGCCAGTGATTTTAGTAAAGACTGAACAACTAAAATTACCACTCCCATTGAAAACTTATTTTAAAAAGTGAAAATAATAATAATCTATGGATTCTCAGTTTATTATTTACAGTCTCATTTCTCAGAGTACTCACCAAAATCTCCACTCTCTGACAGAACCAAAGGACAGGAAACAACAAAGAGCATCCATAAAACACCCGCCATCTCTTATCCAGCAGTACAGGCCTAGATCACTCACGTCTTCATTACTCACACACGGTTTACTGACGAGTGACAGCTCACAGTGGTACTTTCAGAGGTGAGAGGAAGAGAGAGAGAGCGGTAGAAACACAGAGAGGGTGCTTGTCATTTCTTATTTGTGTTTCCTTTCATTGCTTCCTTTTCACGTGTCTTAGCTCCACCCCTTTAATTGAATCAGATTTGTGCCTTTAATTTTGGAAGCAACTTCTCAAGAAACTACTGAAAATCTAAACTGAAAATTAATAAAATGTCTTGAAACTAAAAAAAAAATAGCATGCCAAATTTTGACTTCATATTTAAAGGGGTCATATAATGTTGCTAAAAAGAACATTGTTTTGTGTATTTGGTGTAATGAAATGTGTTTATGCGGTTTAAGGTTCAAAAAACACATTATTTTCCACATACTGTACATTATTGTTTCTCCTCTATGCCCCGCCTTTCTGAAACGCATCGATTTTTACAAAGCTCATCAGTCTGAAAACACTAGGTGTGCTGTGATTGGCCAGCTATCCAGTGCGTTGTGATTGGCCGAATTCCTCAAGCGTGTGACGGAAATGTTATGTCCCTTATCATATTGTGATGCCTGCGGCAGCCACATGTGACGACCTCGGGCTGGACTCCGCTTCGTCCACGGTGAAAGCCGATCTGGCGATCGACAGCACGAAGTTGAAGTATTTCCTCAGCGACCAGCACAGATCAGCTCCAGGCATGACGAAGCGATATCGTCCTCTTTTGGAAGACCAAACAAAGTAGTATCGCTTTCACAACGAAACACACAGCGCCTTCACGACATGGCGGCGGCGGCAACAACAATACTACAGTGAGAATAAAAGTTACGCCTTCTTCTTTGCGTGAACATTTGGGCGGCGTTATGCAAATCTTCCCAGATAGTGACGTAGGTATGTGGGGGCGTGTTAGAACGATCCATTTTAGGTAGGCGTGGCTGACTCTTAACTTTTATAAAGAATATCTCTTTGGATTTGAGACTTTAGTCTTTGCAACTTTACAGATCTTCTTTATGCACCAAGAGCTTGTAACACTCCAAAGAGAAAGGAAAAATTTAAATCGCATCATATGACCCCTTTAAATACACTGCATGCTTCACTAACTGTTTTCCTCATCTCTACTTACAAATGGCTGTCAGAATTTTCATTTACGCCTCTGAAGTGTTTGTTTACACTCCCTGAGTTTTCGTTCGCCATTCTGTCGCAAATCGTTCGTGGGGGCAGCGGTGGGTTCTCATTGGCTGGCGAGTTTTGGAGTAGAGTCGTCAGTGTTGTGTTGTTTACAAATGCGAGTGAGAAGAGGATCTGCTTTAAGCGGATTCATATCTCATTAGAGAGATATAAAGATAGGAGTGTTATTTTTTTTATCTGCATTTAACTTATAGGCCTACTTAAGCTCTCAGGAGCAGTAGTCTATTTGTCTGCGTGAGAGATCAAACGCCTAGGGATGTCCTATATATTATAGCCTAATATAATATAATAATATACAGTGCTCTGGGAGAATATTCGTTTGTTCCAGATAATGCTAAATGAGGACAGTTATTTTAACTCCATTTAGGGTTCATTTATCATGGTAGTTTTCTCCAAACCACTTGAGGGCAGTGTCAGTAGATTGACAGCAATATTGTAACAGTGGCTACAATCTTGCGTTCCAAATATTCATTGCTTGATGACATCATTAATCCAAGATGGCTGACAGCGGATAGTCATGTGATAAATGCCCCAGGCATATCTGTGAAAAACTTTTATACAAGGAGGTCAATTGAGGAAAAAAAATATTAGTATGTACAGTAAAGTATGTTGAATATGCTAGTATTTTATAAACTAAAATTTAGAGTAAAATGTCGTTTGTATTCACCAAAAACCAACTGTCCACGTATGTGGAGGTCATGCAACAGTGGAGTCAGATTGCATAAAGTCTGTAACCTGCTAGTATATCTATTCTATTTTTTCAAAGATGTTATGAATTGTCTTATATTGTAATAAAACAGACATTTAACAAATATATCAGCATAAATAACCATTTAAAATGACATATTACAGCATTAAATGGCAACTTTACACATACATATGGAGACAAATCTGCATTTTGCCTTCCAAACAGGGACAGCATAGGTCAAGGAGTCAGTACAGAATAATAGAGAATATCCCAGAGGACAGTGGAAGTGACAGTGACAGCAGTGATGAGTATGTGCCAGCAAAGAGCAGCCCTGAGACAGACAGTGATGCAGAGAGTTTTATTGTTATTATATTGTAATATTATTGTTTTTAATAACTGAGCTGATATAAATAGCATAACATGCCAATTAAAAAAACACATGTCCCATTTTACGCCTTTGTTGCATGGTGTCCACATACGTGGATGTCCAGTTAATTATTTAACTGTCCAGTTAAATAATTTTTAAATAAAAATGAATTTTGTAAAAAATGAAAATGGATTTAAATTTTAGCATCATATTAAAGTAATAAAAAGAATCATAAAAAATCTAGATAATGTTTTCCATAATTCATGCATGAAAGGGATTTACATTGCAACAATACATAACTACAATAACTTTGTCTAGTGCACTTAAGATAGTTTATAGCATGATTTGTGAAAATTTAACTATACTGAATGACATGGCATAGACTTCTTCATGGCTAGTTTTTGAGTATTTCATTTCATTCTGTAACCTACTTGTTCTAAGGATCTGTGTGTACTGGTGTTAAATGCTACTGTTTTTGACAGCGTTGATAACGTTTATGACAGATAATATCATAATTTTTTTTGCGTTTCCCTTACCGAATGTC